ACACACAAACACACAAACACAAACACACACACACACACACACGCACGCACGCACGAACACACGTCACAACAGTGGCTACAGCAATTAGAGAAAGGCGCAAGTGGCCACCAGTATCCCTAAACCCTAAGCCCTCAAGCCTAGACCCCCCCCAAAATAAAAAGGCCTAGACCCTAAACCCTACACCATCCTACACCCCTAACCCCTAAACCCTAAACTCTAAACCCTAAACCCTAAAACCCTAAACCCTAAACTACACTCCATGGCGGAGGTACAGCCGTCCGAACCACGCAACCGCCCCCAACCATGCAGGCGAGAAGTGCGTGACAAATAGGCTTTTGGGATTCAGGTTTAGGGTTTAGGGTTTAGGGTTTAGGGTTTAGGGTTCGGGACGAACATAGGGGCCTTAATAACTAGAACAGGGTTTGAGGGTATATAATACTATAATTATAATAAGGAACCCCCAAAGCCCCAACCGAATTATTAAGGCCCCTACATTACACCGCAGCTAGGGTTGGAGTTGGGGTCCAGAAGCAGATGTCCAAAGCCACCCCGAGCCCTGATCCTAGAGAGGGACCAAGGTTCAGCGTGAGTTTTTTCGGGTTTAGGGTTTAGGGTCAGCCGAATCCCCCCGTCGCAGAAGGAATGCCTCCTAAATTGCCAAATGGATCTTTCGTATTACAGTATGATCTGTCTATCCTTACTTGATTTTAGCTGTGACGGTGTGACACTGCCATCACAATCAACAGACCAGAAACGACCATTCATTATTGAGGTTCATCGCTGTCAAAGAATGTATCAATCAGTCAAGCCGTCTTGGGCTCTCTGTTTCTGTTGTCAAATTTCTCTGGAAGCTTGCTGGGCGGGCTCTTTCAGGCTAGTCTAGCCCATGGTCTAGTCAAAATTCATCATCAGGTGAACCCACAGATTGCCACAAAGACGCGAGGGTTTGGGGTTCAGGGTGGGGGGGAGTCTCCATAAAGTTTAGGCAGAAGCTTTTTCCCAGGTATCCCAACGCCCCCATAAAAACCTTATAGACCTGCTCAAGCGTCGATACTTGTGTTAAAACAGCTTAACTAACTACCAGCATTATTCCAACAGTATTCCTTCCGGCTCCCTATTGTGCGGTAATGATACCAGGACATTCCTTGTAGGACTCAGGTATTTGGGTGTAGGGTTTGTGGTTCAGATAAAGTCTTGCGGGTTAGGACGTTGGGGTTCCAGGTGGATTTAGTTTAGGGTTGATTTTCTCTACTTGGAGCGTCGGGGGACTTAGTAAATGGCTGTTTTATGGACTTATAAGTACTATAACCCCTAATGGTCCCTTTTCCCTAAACCCTAAACGCTAAACCCTAAACCCTAAACTCTAAACCCTAAAAGAGTTTAGGGTTTAGGGTTTAGGGTTTAGGGGGCTTATAAGTCTACGTAGGAACCCCCCGCAGCCCGGCCTGAGGGCGCCGCCCGCCGAACCTCCAACGAAGCCTCCCAGAACTATAGATCCCCTAGGCCCTAAACTCCTAAACCCTAA